GATAAATATGACTATTCAGTATGAAGGCAGGTTTTTCGCAGGGTCGCCGTAGCAAAACTTTATTGTATGAGCCGAATTTGTCTTAAAAAATTAATTAATTGTTACACCGTTTACTTATACCTGCTCCATAGGAGAAAGTCATGAAATAAAAAGGGACTATTTGATTGTGATTTCTATAGGAAACGCCAACGACGGTTGTCTAACCAAATAATACCAGTAATGGGAGAAACAAAAGAATCAACATTGCCGCAAGCAAATAACAAGAATCATTTTGATTACGACACAACCACAGCTTTACCACACTTTCTCTCTGGAACAAATCGGACACGTCGTAAAAGTTCCATAGGAAACGATGAAATTGTCTATAGATGCTGCAAAACATTTTACATTTTTGGAACGCTTTTGGATTACTATAGGTCAAGCGATCATATTTGTAGTCAACAACGACGTAAACAATGCATGTCGGTCATGACGTGCGACGAAAACACATCAAGGGCAAAACGTAACAATTTGATACCATAGCTAAATTCAAGGCCAATGTTGTTATTATGAGCGCCATGGACTGTCGTAGGTCCTCGCGTGAGTTCGCGCGTCTCTGACACGCTATAAATGGGTTTGGTGACTTTGCCCTCGGCACGTTTCACGTTCCAACGCCATAGTCCCCTATAATGAAATAAATCCCAGTCGAAACCATAAAATATTTTACATTAATAGGAAATTGATATTATATACAGGATTATTCGTAAAATATTAACAGCCACGCAGGCCTTTATTACCAAGCATCATAAACAACAACTTTTGTTCCATAATTTTTTCCACAAAATAATAAATTTACCAAAACTAAACTTTTACGTTTTTGTTGTACTATCTGACACTTTTTAGATCTGTATTTGGTAGTGAGATAGTAAATACAAACGTGCAAGCGTCCTACCCGACATCCACCAACCCTGTTCCTGCGTTTTGCATTTTCTTATAATTGCTTTCTTTTGTTACCGCTCAGAGTTATCATCGTTTAGACCATTTAAATGTAAAATTTTTGTACGAAAGCATAATCTGATCACTTATCAAAAGTCATAGAACAAAATTAAATGTTTCGAGTTCTTAGGTTTTCGCGATTGTTACACATAGGAAATGAAACTGTTTTTCCGGATTTAAATCGCCTATATTTCTTTTTTCTTTCATTTTTTGTTTTTTATTTTGTTGATGGTCAACCATGGGACCTGTAAAGGGCCCGAAACGTCGGTTTGTTTGAAAAAACAAATATACGCGATTTAAATCCGGAAAAACAGTTTCATTTCCTAAAATTAAATGTTGTTTTTTATAACGTCAGTAATATAGTTCTGCGAGGTTAGTATTTTTACAAGTAAACCGGTATATTTAACCAATACTGTAACAATTTACTAAAAGTACGCGGAAGTTATTCGATATATAATATCAAAACTAGAGCGTAGGTTAAATCCGAATAGTCAATACTCAGATTTTCATTTCGACACAGACCTTTCTTTTACGACCTGGTTCAATTTGATGAGTCGTAAATACTGTGAACGTAACTACCGCGTAAAACTGCTTTTGGTTCAAAGGACAGCGCTATTTATCGCAACAGGACAAAAATGTCGCACGCAGTATAAAGAAAAATAGTTTCATGCAACATCAAGTTCATTTAATAATTGACTCCGGCCGTCCGTTTGATACGAATATCAACGTCTTAAGACACCGGAGATGTTTTGGTGATTACAATAATCTCAGTACAGAGTACTAAAAAAACGACCTCAAAAGTCATTCATCCCCTAATTTGCCACTTTAAGAGGTGAAATATTTTAAAGAATCATCAAAATCGGTTACCGCATAACATACGTACAAAAAAGCAGACGATTTTTCTAACTTGTGAACTAGGCGACGGCACATAACTCAAAGTAAGCAACGTAAAGCAATATTCACTCTGCAATAAAACCAAACATAGTATTATAGGTTATATTGCTCTTGTTTTATTATAAACAGAGTGTTAAATGCATTGCATACTAAGATGAAGATTGCTCTAATTAATACAAACAATTTTTAACTACGTGGACTCAGTTTTTATCGCGAAAAATATCATACCCACTTGACCAATTACGGATACTTAAGTTAAAACCATTTTATCCGTAAGTAAATGTAGTACGTATTAATGGGTGGAATCAGCCGCCTTAGGGTGTAATGCAATTAAGTTAACGCCCTGTATGTCGTTATTTACGCGCAAGTTATATCCCAAACACTATTATCTTTTTTAGCGGTCTCACAAGGAAATTACGTGTAATATAAGTATCAAAGTAACAAAATTCACATCGAGACACTAACCAGAGCACTCGAATCAATTCAGAATTTGTTTTATCAAATTGGTCTTACCGGGAATCGAGGCCGGCACTACCTCAACATCTATCACCCTATGCGCTTCGTCACATAGGTGATAAATTTCGATTTTGTCCGAATTATTCGTAGTACTTGCGAAATAACTTTGCAAAAGAAAATGTTATATTAAAGATGTGCAGTTGTAGGTTCGAAGCACCTACTCGTACACATTGCATAGTATTGCAAAGTACGCATAACAACCAGGTTTTGAAAGTGTGTCGAGATTTGCAATAGCAACGTGCACTCTACGCGATGCATAAATGGAGAAGTGCAACACTCGTCAAAATCAATTACGTTAAGTAGGCCTTCCTGAAACCAGAACTTGCAAAATACATCTACAAACAAATGTATTGATACAAACAGTTTTATTCATGTACCTACTCCAAAGCCGCACATATGACCGAAATTAATTAAAGATTTTAGCGTAATACGGCTAACCGAATAATCAAATTGGACCTGTGCAATAGGTCGGCCACGTAATTGCCAGTCATAAACAAGGGCCCGTTAATAAAATGGTACGGACCGCGGAACAATAAAAATGTAAATATCGATCATAAGCGAGCAGACATTATTGTCTGTCCTGGCGGGATGCCACCCATTCTATTCGCGCTTTTGAAGGGGATCATGATAGGGTTTGGACCGTTTTGGAATTGTTTTTTGCTACGGTAACTCGTTGAATGACGACCCGATGACGACGGGCTCCCTGGTATCAACAGTTTTAATGTAAAGCTTTTTGATAACTTATCTCGAATTGAATTTAATTTCTCCGTTCTGTACAGATAAGTTTTCAAACTAATCAAATTATCTACGTTTAAAAAATTCAATCTAACTACAATGAGTCAAAAGAGCACTTTCGATTGTTTTCAGATGACAAATAAAAGTGGCCTTTAAAGCCATTGGGGTAGGTCTTTCTTAATGAAATGTTTAGAAACGTTTATAACTTAGAATGCTAAGATGGTTTTGACGGTGACCTTATTTACGAACTCAATAACAAATAAATAAATAAAATCAGTGAGGTATTGTTTCCGATTATGTCGTACGCCCACGTACATTTACTCATGCGTCAGGTAAGAGGAATGGCAATACGACTGTGATTAATGGTCTGACTAGTCAATTTCTTTTTGTATTCCTCTAGTGGGATTTTGGCTAATCTCACTCAACTGACTTTCAATTCAACGAACGAAAAATGGAAATCAGTACAGAGCAATTTAAGGAACAATAAAGATCAAATCAATGGAAATTGAGCAAAATAAGGTCGACTTCGGTGGCATAACTTGCACTGCACTATGGGCTCTGGATGAGGAGGACAAATTTACGACTAGTCTCAGTACTGTCCCGGAGCGAATACTTTGGTACTTCTAGTACAAGAAATTCCCTAGTTTGAGATCAGATATATAATTGGTGTGATTATCTGGCACATTACACATTATTACAAGTTACGCCGCAAAAAATCATTTAAGAATAATTCAGCAGCGTCAATTTAAACATCATCAAAATAATTAAATTTCTATCCTTATTCACGTTCCGTAATTAAATAACGACGGATTATTTTCAGACAAGTCTCTTGCTTTTCAAATTCTGCGAGTTTCTCGCGTAAATTATATCATTTTATTTGTTTCTAATATGGAAGAATTGACTGACGTCAAGGAGCTAATTACAGTACGTCGATGTAATAAAGAACGGCTTGTTAGCCTCATTAGCCGCAAAAAAAAATGTATTTGTTGACAAAATCTGTGCACACGGTCGTTGTGGGAGTATTTCTTGAATACAACCGGTTCCGTGTTTATTCGTGTACTGACCCCAAAAACTTCGTGACGGGCATCATTTTAACTTTGCCACGGTATTGCACGCAATCGAATTACGCGATCGAGTGCATGTTCCCAACCTGGTCCCTTCAAATCGTGACATTAAACTAGAGCATTACGTAATCTTTTAAGATTTAATAAACTTAACCGCAGCTAACGTCGATTACAATAACATGTCAATAAATGGCTCGTCTTTTACAAGAGTAATGATATCATCCACACAGTTACAACTTTGCTGACATCTCATTGCTAGAGCTGGTAAGAGTAATAGCAGATATATATTTTTAATTACGAAAGAGATAATGGCAATCCCGTGAAGTGGTCAGTAATAACTATCCAGGTATTTCACTATGCCAACTACGATTTCAGTGGTGAACGACCTCTATAGGAAACTGCATAGCAATTCGGTGCGTCACGCCGAGCGTGACAGATATTCCTATATCACGCAAAATACGGTATTAGCGAAAAAATGTAAAAGCCTATCTGTTACACAATTAGTTGCTAATGCCTTACTTCGTGGTAAACTCTGTGGAGAACCTCTGTGAATCCACTTCGTAATGGGGTCCATTACGCATGATCCTTGTATCTAATAAAGGTTTGCCAGCACATAAACAGGCGCTGGCTACACAGACAATGATTGATGCCGCACGCCTTGAGCATGGTTGCCGCGATAACAAGCAATATTCTCCTTTTCTTTTGAGTTAATTTCACAGTGGGAAGAAACTCGATAAGCACAGGGCTTCATCACTCTATAAAGTTGATACGTATGAGAAAGCTATCAAAATTTTATTACCTTAATAAATAACTCACCTTTAAGTATGATCCATAATATTTAGTGACGTAAGGGCTATCACACTGTGATAGCACCATAATCTCCTGCTGTATGTCTTCGATCTCATCTTCGGCTTCTTCTAGATCGATGATTTTGATGGCGACCACCTGCTGTGTTCGGTTGTCTACGCCTTTGAACACTTCACCGAACGAGCCTTTGCCGATCTTCTCTTGTTTTGTGAAGATCAGCTCCGGGTCGACCTTCTGCAACAAACAAATGCAAATGATGAAGAGTTACAAGAATGCAAAAGGAACAATGGCTATTGAAATCGACGTGATAGGTCATAATTATAAACCTGGTCATAATATAATAAAATAATATAAACACAAAGTACCTACACATACTGCTATTACTTTACTTTATCGATATTGTGAGTGGATACCGACTGTAATCAACATTTTAATTAAGCAGTAGCGTTACCAACTTATTACATATACGATAAAAACGTAACGTTTTTGTGAATCGACACTTTGAACGTGGGCATTACCGATATACGTATTTTTTACACAACCAGGAAGACGCTCACAGTGATTGATTATTCATAAAGCGAAATATTAAATATTCATCCATACAACTGGTCAAAGTATAATATTAAAGTATGTTACGAGATTCTAATTCTTTGAATGTTTTTACTTTGCGAAGAAAATGGTTTTCGCTGTCTGAGTGAATAAGTGGGTGTTGTGAATTATAAGTTATTTACATAAGCGAATTCAAATAATCTATTATTATTAGTATATAATTCATTCATAATCGCTTTATCTGACCTAATCATAAAACCTACATTAAATTAGAAACTAATTACTGGACAATGGCAAAATCATACCTTTTATTTGTATCATCTTTTTATTATTATAAACCTTATCAAAAATTTAGTCATCGAACTAATCGAAATGGAATGCGATAAAGTCTTATCAGATTAGTGTCCGCGTTATGGTAAAAAAAATGTTGCCGAGTCTTTTTTTTTAATTTGACTACAGTACTAATGTATTGAATAGAAACTATTAATAATAAGTAACATCTTGTAATAAATCATCTTGTACGTTGTCATTGACAACAGAATGTGTAAGCTTCCATTAACCTGATGTTAATTGAAGAATGTCTACGTTTATCTACGATCTCATGGCTCAGTAAGCATTCTAACATGTTTAGTTTAATTCGAATACTCAGCTATTTTGGAATTTAAAGCAAGAAATGGCATGCAGACAATTGGGAGGTTCGCATTTATTCAGAGCCGGCGGAGTTGAAGCGAGACCTTTTGGCATTTGCCTGACATTGAGCAGTAGTCAGGGCTCTGCACTTTGTATCGACAAGCTGCATTAAAGCGCTACGTGACCACTTTACGGAATACATCTTTCCACACTTTAGTTTCTCGACAGGTTCAAAACAAAAACAATGAATTTTCAAACGACTGTTCTAGAACTACACTATAACAACAATAACACGCGTTGAATTTCATTCAATTAGACAAATTAAGATAATATCCGTAGATATTTATCTAAACTCTCAGAGAAAACGAACATTCCATTGATTTAAACACACGCGAAGAACGTCTCGCCGACGTTTCTTCGATAGCCGTTGACTTTGACATGAAACTAACCCACTTTAGACAAAATATAGCTTTATATAATATATAAAATGTGCTACAAGATTGCCTTTCGTTTTAGAACCGACGAGTTTATAGTGAAATAACTCACAAAGTTTTCAACATTGACACGAAACAATATTTTCACAGGCGAAAGAGAATTTTTTCTTAAAATAAACCTACTCAGACTGTCTGCAATCTGCATCAAATAGAAACTTTCTTCGTAGCTGAATAAGCTTTAGATTAGATTTTAGTAAAAGCTATTGATTTTCTTTATAGAGCATGGATCTCTGATTTACTCAGTGCAGAAGCCGTACTAGAAACAGTGTTGGACGTGACAAGAATAGAACAGATGCACATCTTAAGATAAAAACGTTGAGCCTGATATTTTACCTTCTTCAAGCATTCATCGCGGTTAAAAGATAACATGTAAACATTTAATCTTTCAACCAGGATGAACATGAATGAGATATACAAAAAGCGACACATTAATGATGCGTTCGTCAAAACAAGTAACAACGTCATCGTAAATGTAAGTAGTCGTTATAACGCTAATCTCTTAAATCTGGGGGCAGTAGAGCACCTTGTGAAAGAATTCCTCCAAAGAAGTACTGCCACCTTACATATTTCTGCCAGCCAGTAATGTGAGCATTATTGCGTTCCGGTTTTGAAGGGTTAGGATGCAGGTGAAATTACAGGCACTGGTCTACTTATGTCTCAGGGTGACGGTCGCAGTGGTAGTGCCCGTTAGGTCTTTGCGATCGAAAGCTCTAACTGGCACAGCCGCTGTTATGGACAGGCGAGTCGCTTACCACCAGGTTGCACGACTAGCTCGTCCTGTCACTTGCAATCATTAAAAATCTATAGGATTTTTAATGATAGCAAGCATTTGCAGCTAATATAATATTTACGTAATTAATGAGAATCTCTTAAAAGTTAAAAGATAAAAGGGAGAAATCAGCAACGCTACATAAAAACGCCCCAAAAGGATAATAAGGAGAACACAACATCATTATTTCCTTTTAAAATGCCATCCTTGAGGGCAGCGAAGGGGATGATAAAGCGAAATGCTCATTTACTGGCGTGAATAAAAAGGCTTATTGAGTTTGGTAGGGCAATTTTACAGACGGCGATTTAAAATAGAGGCGATTTAAAATAGAGGCGAATCGACTATAACGTAATTTCTCGCGCTTAATATACAATACCAATGAGTTAACAGTGTTGATAGTGTAAGCCAGAGACGAAGTAAGATACTTCTTGTGACCGTGTGAAAATTTTAATATCTTCGTATTATACGGTATACAAAATAATAAAAATATAACAATTTCTGTTAACGAAAAATGGGTGAAATCCAATAAACCGGTTCCATCCCCTAATTTGCCACGCTTAGAGGTGGAATATTTTCTTCAGATTTTAATGGAACCGCTACTGAATTTTGGAGTTATCGCGTAACATACACTAAAAAAGATACAGTCGAAATGAGAACCTCCTACCTTTTCTAAGACCGGTTAAAAACAATAAACATATTCACAAAATTATATGCCAACGTACCAAGCTAACTCGTAGAACGTGAGCAGTTTACATGTGTGTTAAGTTAGCCATGTTATAAGGTTACGACGGTCATTCCACCCGACGACCCGTTCGCGTAAGCATAATCACCGTAAATATTTGGTCGGATGTATTCGACTTTATTTTAAAAAAATTACGATGTCCTATTTAAGTACAGCCTATAGACCTACGTAGCAGTGCCCGATAGATACCCTGAACAGTAAAAAATCAAAGGAAGCATATCCAAACTCGTGAAGTTGCAGTGAAAGCGTATTTAGTTAAAAGTAGGTAAGATACTACAGGCTAAACTTTAATGATCGCTCACCGTTCCAATTATGGGGCGTAACTCTCTCTTAGCAATAGTTTCGTAGCAGGCCAAGGCCCGAGAATTAATTATTGTGTAGGTGTACTATGACGTCACTTTGTATACTGGGTCATAAGTAATAGAGTATACTTAAGTCTCAAGCAAAATATTTCATATCTGTATTACACGTACATGTTAAGCAATATACGCTCCTCTCTACAATAAAAAGGTTAAAGCCAATTTTACAGAAAGTCGATTGAACACGCGCGGAAAGGCCCGCCGCACTTTGTTGCGGTACGAACCGTTCCGGTTTTAATTAAAAACAAATGTTGGTGTAGTTGTTAAAAAATAAAGGACAGTAAGGCCGTCCTCGACACACACACACAAGGTTGAAAATGAGCTGTTTAGAATTGAAACCCTTTATTTCACTACGATGACAAAACAATCAGATATTGGACGCGTTGAAAGTTAACAATTCAGTCTATTAGATAGAAATGACAAGAATATTAAATTAAAATGGACGAATCCCCATCCATAAATAACGTCTAAGAGAAGCTATCTCGCAAAATTTGTATTCTCAACGAATTAACTGTATTAATGAAACTGCCAACTCATCAAAATTTTTCAATTAACACTGGAAAGAAAACCTTTTAAAAGATTAGATTACTGCGAAATCTTGTTACACAAACCATAAGTACTATAACGGACAAAGAATGAATCTTTCATATTCACTGTTCCTAAATACTTATAAGCACTTATAACAATTTTCCGCTTTAAACACTTATGAGCAAAATGTGATTAGCGCAGAAACAATATGTACTAATTATTCGACGCAAACATCGCGTCATCCGCAATTCTAATCGATGCACTAAGTACTTAATAAATACATTATGATTCATTCTTGTGACAAAATATAACTTATGTCAGTCATATCAAGATATAAATATGCATACATTTGAAGCATAACATGTTTTTATTTTTAAATAAATTTAGTTGTAATTTAATACTTGGACTTATTTATAGTTTTCAAGTTCAAACAAAACAGAATCTTCAGAAATAGACAGCTTTTTTGTTCGCCTTGGTTTATGTAATTTACTTTACATCAGATCGTACATTATTTTTTTATTTAGAATCAAGACCTGAAAATATAATCGTTATTGAGTAACACTAACACGGTGTTATTGATAATTCCATGTATAGTGGTGGTACGAGACGACGTGCGTGTACGTACTTACCTATCTACTTTGTTCGGAAATCGAACAGATAATGATACTATCAATTAAGTACATAATATTATCAGCAGGTGCGTAAAAAATTAATTCAGCTAATAAAATTAATAAAATTCATTACACATGAAATTGTAAATATAGAACCTCCAGATATTTAACTGCCTCTGTGGCAGAACGGTTACCATGCCGGACTGCCACGTAGAGGTCCCAGGTTCGATTCCCGGGCCGGGAGAAATATTTGTATGACCTACATTTATATCTCTCGTGAGTTTGGGTGTAATTTGTGGTTGTCTATGTGTGTGTCCATGGCATCCGCGACACAGGGTTTCCCTAGTGCGGGGCTATGTTTAGTGTGTGTGTGTTATGATAAAAAAAGAGAAAAAAAAAAGATATTCATATAATGGTATTAAATTGTGTAATCATACGTTTGTCAAAACATATACTTATTATACATATATACTTCTTCCAAGACGATTGCTGGGTTGCTACATTCGTAAAATTTTAAATAGTCATTGTAGTTGTTTGTGACATTTTTTTGTTGTGAGTTTTATCGATAAATTGTGAAAGGAGATAGATAATATTTATATTAAGGAGATAAATATAGAAGAATTTTACAGAAACGCTTGAAGAGGAAATGTTATGACGTTGTAATGATTAATAATTGCATTATCGCCTTCTTTCTTATTATTTTGACAGTTGGCCCAGTAGTATCGAAATCAATTCGTGAAGTACAGGCACCATCTTATTCTTCCAAGATAATGTTCATTTTTATACAGTTTTTTACGTTTTATGAATCTTAATAACATTCAAATGAAACAAGTTCGATCATTTATTGCGTAAGCGTAACCGATATTTAATCGATAGTCGATAGAATATTTATCGACTGTTCATTGAACAGTCATTTTAATCCATCTTCAGAAAAAGGGAACTTCATCCTAGTACTAAACGTTTACTATAAAATAGTAAATATTTACTACAGAAAAAAATAGTAGAGGGAACTTCATTCAAGTAGTAAATATTTACTAATGGAATGAAATTCCCTGCGCTATTTTTTTCTGACGATGGATTAAAATGACTGTTAATATTCTATCGACTATCGATTAAATATCGGATAATATTTGAAGACTCTCGTAAATTTTCATCATACTTAGTAGGTACCCTTAGGTAACGGTCATCATCAGCCCATTACTGAGCACGGGTCCCAACGGATTCTAGAAGGGGTCCAGACCATCGTCTACGTAGCTGCGAATTGGAAAGTTCACAAGTCTCTGAGAGTTCACAAGTTATGGACCTCATGCATGCGGTTTTGTCACGATGTCTTCCATTATTCAAGCCAGTAAATGTTATTAACCTACGTCAAGTTTAAGGATATTATAGTGATAAATTTACAGCTATTTAAAATAAAATGGAATGCGCGATAAAGCGCTAATCCATAATCCGCCTATCGTTTTATTACCAGGTAAGCCACACGCAATAAAATAAAGCTAACTTTTTTGACAATAAGTCAGCTTAATAACTACCGTGAACTACAAATCAAAATACGAGAAATGCCTGCGGGAATTTCGTAAAAATATTTTTATTCTAAAATAGTAATTTAAAGAGAGTATAGGAACTTGCATTAAAGTTCAGACATTAAATTTTGGTTAGATAATAAATCAACCTGAATCATAAACTAAATTTTTATTGAATTGATATTCTATTTTTTTTTTTGTGAAATGAGTCCACTAATTTGTTATGATTATTAATACAAAGATCGAACACTTAGAAAAAATCCTTCGATCCGGCCGGATTCGAAGAGACGTCTCCTAGCAAACCGTGGCAGACGCTATGCCAACTAAGCCACGGAACGAACCAGCGGACTTCAAGTATTTTTTTATATGCTTGTCGTCGGATCTTTATATCTGGTTTTCAACTTTTTTTCAATTTGGACTCAATTAATCATACAATATTTCCCAACGAGGATAAACTCTAATAACTGACACGTCGAATACATGCCGTAACTTTCCAATTTATTATAAACAAAGTTTTCTTTGGAATACAAAATGTGTTTCAATTTTTCTTATCATTAGTGTCAATTCAACTAAAAGCCTCCTAATAACAAAAGTTCATATTGCATCACCTTCACCCTTCGCACACGTGAGAAGGGGCTCCTGACGGATTGGAGTGTATACAGTGAAGTAAACTGTGCATCTCCGTTTTAGCAAAAAATCGACTTAAATACCAATTCCAGCGCTAATGACTAAATCGTTCTGATTCATGTAAAGCATTCAATCTAAATAAGTATTAAGTAATAGTTTTATAAACTATATTGTACATCAATTAGACAAAGGGAACTTTAAAATCAATGCACTTTTATAATGGTCCAGCATATTTTACACACTTGACAATTAAAAATGTATGACATTTCATTATTGTCGCTCTCATTCTTGTCTACTTTTAAGTCAAATAGTTACTTTAAGCTAAACATTCACTTGAAATATAACAATTAGATGGTGATAGTGGTGGTGATGACGGTGGTGACGATGATGATTGTGGTGATGATGACGATGATTGTGATGATGATGTGAATGGTAACGATGCTGATGATAATGGTGATCATGATGATGATGTTGATAGTGGTGATGACGATATATTGATGTACAACAAAGTTTATACGATATTAACAAAATACTCATTTAGATTTATTTATTTAATTATATATAGATAGATGGTCTTACACGGATGAGAAGGATTTTGATACAAGAAGTTATATTAAAATATTTGTTACATGTTAAATGTTCTTTTGTGAACGATAAAATGTGTGTTGTAATAATAATTTCTCATTACTGTGCTGTCTTTCTTATTTATGTTTACGAGAAAATCATTCGTGTTACTGCAATCTCACTCGTGTGACCTAAAATATCGTTTTTTTGTTGTATTTAACTTAAATATTTCTGTGATTTTATAATTATTGGCATTGCTTGAACTTATTAGTACGTTTAAGACCTTACAACCAAAAAAAAACAGAGTTTGACAAAAATTACTCAAAAAGTGCCATTGAAATTCGGAAAGTGAAATACTCAATATATTTGTTGCAGTCATATGATATACATGTCTTAAATTTAAAATAATGCTACACATATGAGCTCTTTATTAAGGATAACAATAACAGCAGAGGTAGGCCGAGGTTTCAATTATTAATTAAAATTGTTATTTATCAAATAACAATATAAAATAAAAATAAATATTCACCCTTATATAATTAACGTCACAGGTTATCTTCACTTAATGAACACGTGAATCAATTTATGATAACATTGAAAGGTAAGTGATTGAGTAAGCGATTAGGTGGTTAAATACTAATGTTTCTTTCATAAAAAATAAAATTTATAACTGAAATGAATATGTCGACGAAACTAGGTAAGTAGCTTTAAATGCAGTATTTGTTTTGCCGTATAACAGTATAAAGTTCAGTTGCCACGGCGTGAGTGTTCATAGACCGTAAAGGAACAACCTCGGTTACGATTACATTTGCTATTCATTAGATACTGTCCTATATAGGAAACTGTCTACTGGCTATACTATAAAAGGACTGTAGGAACGCGTTCAACGTCCACTGACGTTTTTGCTATGCCTTCGTGAGTTACGTAAATATACGCAAACACAAGTCTCATTAGGGCATTGAAACTATTCTGATCTCATGCGTGGAAGGAAGCGGAAAGAAAATATTTATTTTGTATTGCCTCTGTGGCCGAACGGTTACCACGCCGGACTGCCACGCAGAAGTCCCGGGGGCCTACATTTATTTCTCTCATGAGTTTAAGTGCAATTTGTGGTTGAATATGTGTGTGTCCATGGCACCCGCGACACAGAGTTTCCCTAGTGCAGGGCTATGTTGAGTGTGTGCGTTATTATTATTAATATTTATGTAAATCTCTGCGTGCAAATAGGCAGTATCACAGAAGCCGCATACTTGAAATGAATGTAAGAGAGAAACTTGCCACGTATCAGGTGGCGCGTGCGCAGCCGACATCCGACACGCATTGCGAGAGACGAGGAAATATATCGCAGCGATAATATAAAAGACCCGAGCACACGCACATTACACCACGACATGAAACTACTGTATGTACCACGTTCATATAACATAATTTTTAATCAGTGAAATTGATATGGTTATATGACAACTTACACTACTAGTTCCGGTGTTTTTATTGTGTGATGGGCGGATAGGCGCAGGCCGAGCGGGTTGTGGCGGCACCTTCAACTGCCTCCGATCGAAAGAGGAAGCATGACTGCCAGTCCAGCCCCATCGACTAGGTCCATTGCTACTATGAGGTAAAGAATACGAAGACTGGGGCCTTAGGTGCTTAGCATTTGGACCAGTCAGAACAGGGCCGCCGGACCGTCCCTGATTAGGCGCAGGGCCACCGTGAACGTAGTGGTAATCATGTGGCTTAGACACAGCAGCTTCCCACATAGTACACTTTTGTCACTCACTTGAACTACACTCCACACATGGTAATACCAATCACCTCATCACACTGAAAATATTTACGCACTGATACTAATTGGAATACCATACGTTTCGTAGCCTTATCAAAGATAATGTTAGGCGATATTTTTCCTTTTACGAAGACTCTTTTGATAACGTACGGGTTCTAATCGCTACCAACTGCGAACTGGTAACGAGCGATCCAGGCGGCTGTTCGCGATAGAAAGACAACTTGGAAACATGAACGACTCGAAAGCAGCAGTCACCGGACGCTACCGCGACGCGTAAAGAATTAATTCGTATTTGATGGACAATTGTTTCAACTATACAAGGTAAGTAGCATGGAGCTGAAGGTGAATTCGGCACCCACTGCCGTTTAAGTTTCGATGGTCATGCACACGGTAAAATTAATATTGAACTATATAATGTTTCATGAATAGTTTTGTATAGCGTATGTTCCATTTTAAACCCGTTCACAAGTGTTGAAGGTCATAAAATCTACTTCTCAAATAAAACATGAAGTGAAGTAAAGGCCGAGGTAACTAAACAACGAAATAAGAAAGTTTAGTACATCACTTGAGCATTATGTGCATCTAGAGGTAACTTTGACACTACAAAATCACACAGATATATTATGAGTGTTTCGAATTCTAAGTTTATAGGAACGGTCACTTCAAGAGAAATCTGTTTCCCGACACAACAGATCCATCATGATGGACGGCGTGTGAGTTTCAACGCATTTGAATGTAGACTGATTGCGTGTTGTGAGTGGTTGTCGAGCGTTCCACACCGACCGCCCTGGCGATTGCATTATGATTTTTTCGCAAGGGAGCGCGGGGGTGAAGGCGGTCTGCGGGCAGCGAGCAGCGCCAGCGGACCGTGCAGCAGCCACCGCCGGCGCAACGCAGCGAAACTCGCGCTCACAGCGCCGATATATCAAAGCATGTTCATGTGATGGGCTCAGTTATTATTAACTCGATTACCAAAAGAAATCTGCAAATTAAGTAAATGTGGACAGGACCTGTAAAACGTACAATATAATCTAATCGCAACGTTCAATGCACAGGCTGAATAAGAAGAAAGTTGTGAAACTTAAACTTACAAGAACGGAGATCGTTATAATCAAGTTTTGCTTACAATTACAAGTATAGAAGGGTTAACGTCCACCCGCCAGACAAAAAGCCTCTAATCATTGCAGCTCGAAACAAATTTCACATATCAATAACTGTCACGATCTGGTGCAAAGACTCATTCGGAGCACTATAACCAATTCGTCAAAAGACGTTCCAGTTAGCGAGCGCGAAAGTCTGTAAGACAAAGGCATTACAAAACTTTCGTTGGGCCGCGACGGCAAATGTCTTAGTTTCAACGCACAATAGGAGGCATTAGTATTCCACGTGCGAAGGTATGGAATCGGGTGGACTGTCCCGAGGAGTCACCGCCCTCAGAGCCGTGCACAGCATACAGACCTCCTGTACTGCAAGCATTCCGTGCCTTTACGTACGTGGTCATAAGCGTGTGGCATTGGACAACACAACCCACATACAAAAATTTTATTTGTACCCGTTATGTTGTTCTGGGACAGAGTACGATACTTTAAGCAAATCTAGAATCGAAACTCTTAATACAATCTTTATTAATGTCTTTCTTTCATTGAATGCATAAATATAACTGAAAGGTGAAGATAAATAGAAAGAAAGACATCCAAATTAGTGCAACAGGTGCACGGATCTGCGTAGGCGTGCAATCTCAGGAATGTAACTAAGTACGTTGGTGCTTTTTATTCCGCATTCTGCAAGATACTTATCAATAGAAACCTTGAGAAGCGTCTATCTTTACTTGGACAAACTAGATCGATTAGAATTGCAAATGTTATTAAGGAAACTTAACGATTAGGTAACACTACAGAGGTATAGTATAACAACTGACAAAATGAAGAAAGTGTAAAAAAAAAACTAAAATATATGTTTTTGTTTAGGGTCTTCACCATGAAGTCACTGATTCACAATTTAACACTCACAATATTTGTTAAGGTATGCATTCATTTGCAATGAAAAACAAAAGCAACCGACAGACGGCGATGCCTACGCGTGACTAAAAATCGACGACGAACGATGGCTGACAATGTCAGTAAGAACGGGGACACCGCAACACAACTGTTAGTAACAATGATAGGACTTGACAAAAACCCATGTTGAACCGGATGTAAAAGAAAGTTTCGTAATTTGGGGTTAGACTTCCATGATCTCAAAACAAAATTTAGCAAGGATGACATGTTAAAAATATAAAGAATGTTATTGTGAAATAAATCAAACATATCGCCACGTATCTCTTGACTAAAGTTGTGATAAAGTTTTATCGGCTTAGTATCCATTCTTTGTTCAACCAACAGTAGCAAAGATAAGAAGATTTCGCTAAAAGAATTCTCGTGCAATATGTTCCACGGCATGATGTGCCTTATTGAACACGGGTGATGAAAAATACACAGACCAATATGTTGAATGTTAGTGTTGTACTTGTGCAGCGCAGCTCCAGGCCAGACTAAAGTTTGGAAACATTTCGAACATAAATCGTTTAAAACGGTTTGGCACTAAAATTTATGACCAAGATTTCAGTGTTCGCGGGGTTAAAGCGAGTATCCAATCCAGCAGCGTTTTGTGCATGGTGAAACTCACAAAATTAAATATCCATTTGCACACGGACGATGGCCATTGATGCAATGTTGAATTCATTATATATGTATAATAAGCTAATAAATTACATATGTATTTTTTGTTACATATGTAAAAAAAAAGTTATCCGACTTCAAAAAAAGGAGGCGGTTCTCAAATTGACTGTGTTTTTTGTGTGTGATTACTCCGACGTTCGTAAACCGATGTCGATGATTCTTTTTTGTTAGAAAGGGAGTACCTCAATGGTGGTCCTATTCAAATTTGAAGAAAATATTATATATTATCATGGCAAATTAGAGGATGAATCCGGTTTATTGGACAATTTCCGTTAACCGATTTCAATAAAACTTGGCAAATAGATGTAATTCCACTAACTTTTGCGGTCGTTTTTTTTGATACGCTAAAAATTCCAGTTACGTAAAATATAATAAAAAAACAAAGTGAGAGTGAGTTTTGGAACACCATAAACCATATCGTCGTTTGCGAGTAGTTTGCACCTGTGATCTCAGAAGCACCTAGTTGTAGAGGTAAAGTACTCGTGCAAAACATCCCATTTGCGTCACATTGGAAACGCATTAAGCGAGCCAACGACGCCATAAGAGTACAATATCCGACAGACACCGCCATAATGGTTGTTGCGCTACTGAAATGATACAAGAATCGTTAACTACACCAATTGCAGAACCAATAACATAGTTATTATTACCTCAAACCAAGATGTTCTAAAATAACCACTAGAATATGAATTCTCTGTCGTCGTAATCTTGAACGCAAACATTTGTATAAATTAGGTGAATATTATTAAAATTCAGATTCTGAATTTAATAAAAATTATAATTTCTGCGTAAGTAAACGAACTTCAATTTTAAAGAAAACTGCGTTTGTGTTATTGAAACATTTGACTTAAAACCTCATCAGAAATCAAGGTTAGGTAAAAGAAAGTAGAAGAATAAAAGGGAATTTACTGAACCCAAGCGGAATGTCGGTCGTGATTTTAAACATTCTCAAGATCTGATGTTCCTTCTTTTCCTTGCCTTTTTGTGCAATCATTATTAAGATCCAAAACTATTTTGGGGCGCATAAGGGAAACTGTATTTGAGGATTTATTTCATTCTTAACATTTGTCGTAAAAATATTTCAGTGATGACAAAAAGGCATGGCTATTGCTTATTCGGCAGCCGTAGATTCGAAATGTATCCAGGTTCAAACACACAAGTCAATTAAAATCTGGTTTACGACCACTTTTTATTAATTTAAATTACTGCTACACTTATATCCCAGAAAGTTTTAGAAGTACTCCTATATTCAGGGTACAATTTACAGCTTAGCGCGTTTATATCTCCCTTTGGTACTCTTAAGCAGCCAGAACAGAAAGTACGGAATTCTTCATTGCTTGTACTACACTATGGCAGCCACATACACCATTGCGGCGCACAAATCTACACTGATGAGAAAGTATTTTTATCACCACATATTTAAACCTATTGCTTGTTCTATGTAATAAAGTAAAGCATAGTATGAAATCAAATTTTATATAAAATTAATGAATGTTCAACACGATACGAAAACCAATATTATGTGTATTACCAAACAGAAGTATCTGAAAAATAAATTAAGTAATAATAAGTAGTAAGTATTAATTTTAGTAGCAGAAGAACTCCTTATGAAATAGTTCGTCCAGGGTAGTACTGCCACCTTACCTATTTCTGCCGCCAAACAATAATGTCAGCATTACTGTGTTACAGTTTCGAAGACGAATTACAGGCACATGAGACTCGTCAACTTATGTCTCAGGGCGACGGGCGCAGTGGCAGTGCCTCTCAAAACTTGCGATTTAAAGCTCTGAGTGGCACTGCAACTGCTATGGACAGGCGTGTAACTTACCATCAGGCGCACGACTTGTTCGTCCCGTAATTTGATATAATAAAAAAAGTATCAAGTTCGGGTGTGAAAACTATTAAATCAGAAACCATGGTTGCACTCGACTATACATTCTGAATAAGCTTCCTCAGTCGTACATTCCATGCAATGCAGCACCATTTTCCACTCGTCTTTCCTGCAGAAAAGTATATCGATATCCTTAAACGTGCTCCAGACCGGCCAACTCCACATAAATATGTTACAGTAGTCTTGAACACAAACTAAAACAAGCAACGTGAGAAACAAGTCGAACGTTAACGGAACGACTTCTTTTCGTTCGAAGCTGAACTTTTATAAGGCTTTATTACTTTGTAAAGATCCTGTCCGACTCCACTGTACACTTTCGACAGTTGGAATTATTTTATAAGTTAGTGCTAATTCTAGGTCTAATTTGAGAGGTATAAAAAAATTTAATGTGAACAAATAGCTATGCGTATCTAACAATGAGGAAAATATACAAACGTTTGAAAGAACAAAATGAATTAATATAGTAGGGTTTAACATTTAGCAGAACAAAGGCTACAGTAATCGTATTAAAATGTTACGAATTATTTTCTTCATTCCACAACGCAACAACATCACGTTTTCATGGCAAAACATTATTTGTTTGCAGTGAAACACAACACCGTGTTAGATGCGCGAACGCTTATTATGTGTGGGGACACTTCATATTTATTGTGTTGTCAGTGGACTGAGCAAGCGCGTACCGTTACACAGGTTTTTATTACACAAGGTAATAATGGCTTCAAGATCGAGTTGTAATAAATATAAGGAAAACTTCTTTAATTGCAGTTTATCAGACTTACTAATTATTACCTTATAGCAGCAAATAATTCCATGGAACCTTCTATAATTTCCTCAACAATAAATTGACATCAAAGTTTGCTATATCTTAATAGTCTGCAGTTGCAGTACCATTCCGACCCGTAATCTAGGCTTGGGATGAAAGTTCACCGTATCTTATTATGTTGGCAGTAGAAAGCGCCAGACACAATGTAAACGCGAGTGCGACTAAGCAGTAATCACAAGCTATTTGTATTTTCCACAATGTTCTATCAACAATTTATTTAAAATTAACGTGACCATGAAATTTTCAAAAATACTTGTTATACAATTGATTTTATTTAGGTATCAACTTTCCATTTAACACGTGGTTATTACATTCACTCCACCTTGCACTTGAAAATTATGCGTTAATTAGCTGACAGTGATTCTTCATGTAGAGAAATTATGCAAAAGAGATACCGTTATGCGGTGATCAGTAATCAACATCAGAGTATGGTGGAATCAACTCTGTCGTTCACTCTCTCCAATTAATTATACCGACGAC